GCAACCAGTTCTTTTTGGTACAGTGACTCTGTGTATTCCTTCCATCTTCTTTTGATGTTTCATGCATTATTCAATTTTTGCCCATAGAATCTTTCAATATGGCAATTTGAGAATTTTTTTTCTTCAGTTCTTTCAGGTTGACAAATGCTCAACATGTTCTTTCATTTTGGATTTCTAACTCAAAACTTTTGCATATTTCATTATAAATTATAATAATAGACTTTGTCTTCTCAAACTTCTCTTGGAAATCTTCTATTCAGCCTTTTTAGCTTGTCATTTATTGAAAAAGAAAAAAATATTTGAAAAAGAAAACAGCTTCTTGCAGTCCTGGCAGATTGGCTCTGTGCTGGGACAATCCCTATCTATGCTCACAGTGACCCGAGAGAGTGGCCCCAGTGGAAGTTTTCAGATCACTTCAGGCCTTGCTGGACACGTGTTTTACTGTGGGAATGTGTTTGGATATCCAAATTATGTATTCCTGGGTGAGTCTGGGTGTCCCAATTTCACAAATAAATCCACACTGGATGACACTGAGAGGAATGCTTTACCTCACTTAGCTATCCAGCCAATTTACAGAGTGAAGCACACACCATTCTTGGTAAATAAGGTATTGTCTATTTTGCCCAGAACCAGGTTTTAACATATTAGCCATTGTTATTTTGTTCCTGTGTGTAATGTGATATCCAAAATATCTGTCACTTGTGAATCTCATCTAACCACTTGACCATTAATAGTGTGTTTTGTTTTTCACTGGCTTTCTCCAAGATTTTTCTCACATGCCAGATATCCTGGATAGGAGAGAACATATTCATGAAATATATATAGTTTTGTTTTTTTTTTTTGCATGGATACTTTTGCACCCTAACTTTGCTATGTTCAAATTACAGATGATTATGCTGTGGTTTTGAAAATCAATGAATATGTCCTTGCTGGGTGTTTTGGGTCTCTAGAGCTGTTCTGATAGGAAAATGCCTCAAATGAATGGATGGCTTTAACAAACAGGGGTTTATTATCTTAAGTTTTGGAGGCTAGATTTCTGAGTTCAAAGTGTCAAGCTCTAGGAACTGGGTGAAGGCCCCGTGACCTTGGGCGTCAGCTCTGTCTCTTGCTCCCACCCGCTGGACCTGGACAGGTATCTTCATTCAGACAGCTGCTGGACGCTGAGGCTGACAAAGACAAGGTCACCAGACAAAATAGGACAGTCCCACGATTACCACACAATATGGCAGGCCACTACTTCAAATATAGAGAAAGTCCAAAGATGGAAAGAAATATGGCAGGGTGCTGAATGAAGACTTGGCTGCATGCAGGGTCCAATCATTCCAAACAGCTGCAGAGACCTTGCTCAAGATTTCTTCTTATATGCAGGAAGCAGACCACATCCCTAAGGCAACTACTCAGCTACTCCAGTAGATGTCATAATGGAGTTGCTTAACAACATCATCACAGGAGTTTTGGTAAGATGGAATAGGTGGAAAGACTGCACAGACCTCTTCAACAAAGAAAAGGGGAACCAATGAACACAGATACAGAAGATAATCCTGGAGCCCTGCACTTTGAAGGGAAGGATATGGAAGTGGACTACATTCCAACTAGCAGAAGGATTTGCATGGAAACTCCAAAATAATAATAATAAATAAATACACAGAGCTGTGATCTCTTTACCATCTCTACCAACTAAGTTACTGCCCCTCCTTTGGGTCAGCCCCGACTGTTCCCATGGGGCTGTTCTCAGTGTGTGGCTCTCTGTCCAGGGTTCTCATAGGATGTTCAGCTGGTGGAGTCGGGAAATGCATCTCTCTTTCTGGGCTTTCTCTGAGCCCTTCAAGCAAAGCCTCTGGGTGCAACTTCACTGTGTCTTCAGTGGCTCCACCAGGCTCCAGTCTAGAGGCTGGAGTGGGCGGCAAGAGTGAGTAAAACAAGTGGAAAGAATGACTATTACTGTCGATCTTGTCAAGGAAGATTCAAAATACATACCGGGAACCCTATCAGCACCATCTCTCCTAAAATGACCAGCCTGACATCTGCGGACAGGCCCTGCATGACCACACCAGAAGGTCAGAGAAGGGAAGCCACGATGAGCCCAGACTCAAACCTCCCTGCAGGAAAGGGGTTGGCCTCCAGGGGGCGCTCAGAAAACACTCAACATGGGTCCTAGATCAGGAGCAGGTGCAGAGGAAGGCCAAGGTTTCCTCTTAACCCTGGTATTGCCTGCCCCTGATAAATGTCTTATCCAAGAACCATTTCTGTTTCTTCTTTGTAACTTCCTGGTTTCACTCACCTTACAAGGATTAACTCAGAGCAGAGATTCAATTTAGTCTTTAATCCTTGGTTTTTCAGACTTCTGCTCTCAATAATCTTTCATTAAATTTTAACCCTCAATCTAATTTAGCATCATGCAGAATTGTGTTTCTGCTCCACGCACTGGAGACTTCCATTTCCATGGTGATGCCCCATTACTAGCTTCATGCTTGGTTTTGTGCTCCCTCCAGAGAGGATCTGTCTCTCAACTTTGATCCACCCCACTCTTATCTGACGTTAGGATGCTCAGTGCTGTGATAGAGTATGGGTTAAGCGATTTTTCTCTCCTTCTTTCACTGAGCCTCACTCCTAGGCAGGCATTGTGGACTTAGGCCTGGTCTGTGGAGTTCCAAGTGTTCCTGATTTTCTACAGGCAACGCTGGCCCAGAGTGTCTGATCTTCCAAATTGTTCCCACCTTTGCTACAATGGGGCTCTTATGGTGCTGTGGTTAAAATGGTGGGCTGTTAACCAGGAGGTCAGCAGGTGGGTCCCCCCAGCTGTTCCACAGGAGAAAGATGAGGTGGTTTGTCTCTTTAAGGACCCACAGCCTTGGGAAACCAATGGGGCAGTTCTTCTCTATCTTGTAGTGCTTCCATGAGCCATAATCAACTCAATGACAATGAGTTTTCTTTCTTTCTTTCTTTCTTTCTTTTTGGTGTGTGTACTTTGTTGTTGTTGCTGTTCTTGTTTCTTTGTTTATATTTTCCTTCAAAGGATTTTCCCCAGTATCTACAGCACCTAGTTTCATTGTCCTTCCCCTTCCCATTGAGAGGTCTGTGCCTTGACGTGAAACACCAGGTGGTTTGGACATGGTCTCAGCGGTGTTCTCTGTTCCTCCATGTTCATGTGACTCCACGGGCGCCTGTAAGTACAGGGTTTGAAGACTGTACCCCTGACTATTCATTGTTCTGTTCTGTAGTGGGGTCATGAGGTGTAGTTTGGGCGAGTGTTGGAAATAGGTACTCTGACTGCACTAGTCACCATCATAGAGACCAGAGCAGATAGCTTTGTTTAGAGTGGCCCCAGCCCTAACAGAACAGTCTGCAATAGAGGGCAGATACTCATAGATCTCGGCCAATGGGAGCTCCATAGTCTAATGTCTTTAACACGGAGACCTTCAACAACTTATGGAATGTATCAGTTTAATCTTGAAATTTTAAAGCCATCTGATGTCATCTGCTCCAGGGAAGATAATGCCTTGGTCTTTTTATTTTTTTCCTCCCTGGGGACAACTGTCTTGCTCCAAAATATGATATTTGCCATTTTCTCTGTTGTCAGGTCATTGTTAGGTGAACAAAACTTATCTATTGAACACTTTAAAGTATAGTGACCAGAAACCAGCAACAATCTAAAGACCCATCAACAGGAAATTAGATAAAGTGTGGTTTGTGTCCACACTGAACAACTGAGCATGAAGACCAGTGTGTCCTTGTTAGATAAAGAAATATTAATTTATTTCCACATGCATTTGCTGAGTGAAAGAAAAGAAATAAATAAAAGTACATAGTGTCTTATAGCATTTAGATATAAATAAATTATGTCAGATGAAATATAAGAATTGTGTGCTCACCTTAACATGAGCACATGAGGAGGAATAACTTCCCCAAGTGTTATCGTTGCCACCCAATTCTGTGTGGACACTCAGGTCTGCTCTGGGACCCCGTCCTCTCTGAAGGCATCCAACCATAGAGCTTACTATGTAGCAGGAGGGCATACAAATGGAGCCCCTCCCTCTGCCGATGAAAGCCATACCAGCCCCAACCCTGCAGCTCTGGGGGAGGAGCCCCGACCAGGGAATTTTGGTGTCTCCTTTCAGTGATCTGGCTGAAAGAAGACGGGCCTCCTTGGATTCATTACTGAGCTGGGTTTTCCTTGTTACTGTTTTAAAAGGTCATTCTGGGGAGAGTGCATGCACGTGAATGGGCATGAGTGAGAGAAACAGTGGGCATGTGTGATGGTTTCCTGATCAGGTTGTCTCTGTGTTTGTAGGTGACCAGTGTGAGGTGCAGCTGGTGGAGTCTGGGGGAGGCCTGAGTCAGCCTGGGGCGTCTCTGAGACTCTCCTGTGCAGCCTCTGGGTTCACCTTCAGTGACTACAGGGTGGCCTGGGTCCGCCAGGCTCCAGGGAAAGGCCTGAAGTGGGTCTCATACATTAAATATGATGGTGGTAAGGAATACTACACTGAGACCGTGAAGGGGTGATTCACCATCTCCAGAGACAACGACAAGAACACACTGTACCTGCACATGAACAGTCTGGAAGTGGAGGACACAGGCGTGTATTACTGTGCAAGTGACACAGTGAGAAGCCAGTGTGAGCCCAGACAAAAACTCCCTTGTAGGGACAGGGACAGGCAACAGGGGGCACTCCTGACCCATGGAGCTCAGAATTCAGACCCAGGAGCAAGTTTTTGCAATTGAATGGCTGATTTCCTATTGTGATCTGGGATGTCCCTCCATCTAGCAGTTTCCCCCGGGAATCCCTCTATTTTTATGATTCTGTGCCTCCCTCTGATGTCTGTGAATTCACAGTTTGTATTGCCATGAAAGGAAGCAATCTCACATGCAGAAAAGCAGTTTGTCCCATGTGGAGGGAAAGGACTCTGCCAGGATCCCACCCTGAGTTCTGAAGCAGCTCAGGGAACTCTGGGGAGTCTTGCTGGATCAGGCTCAGGGCAGACGGAGCCCATGGGCAGCACTGATGGGGACGCTCTGGACTCTGAGCTGGAGTCTGATGGTTGGAACCCCCCCCAGTGGGGCCTTGGGACCCAGGCCTGATGATCTGCTTCTGAAAGCTCAGACTCAGGGCAGACACCTCAGGGGGGTTCCCAGTTAGGACCCTCTCTGGGATTCAGGGGAGAGCCAAGAAAGTGGCGAGGGGACGGTCACTAACATATAGAAGCAGAATGAGGTTCTCATCTGACCGTCCCCTCACATAGGAGGGTGTGGCTCAGTCTCAGGGCAGACACCTCAGGGGGGTTCAGAGTCAGGACCTTCTTTGGGATTCATGGGAGAGCCAAGGAGGTGGCGAGGTGACAGTCAGTAACAGACACAAGCAGAATGAGTTAGAATCTCAGTTCCTCCTTCCTCAGGTGTGGATGTGGCCAGCACGTCCAGATCGGTGAACGCTGAGGCAGCCTGTAAGGAATCGTCACAGGAGAGAGCAGGGATAACATCAGGACCCCTGTCATCAGATGACAAGTCTCTTCGGTCAGTGGCCTCAGCAGTACAGATTTATTAGGGTGGTTTGTTCTCTTTAGCAATCATCCTTTTTAAGCTATGTTAAGTTAGACTACTTAGTAACCTCAATTCTTAGGGTCTTTGTCCTTTGGTAACCCCAAAGCAAGGGATGATAATGTTTCAGACCATGTTTCAGACCTTCCCGAGAGCATCTGAAGTCCCAGGGAAGGGGCTGAAAGAGGTTTCATAAACCTTGGTCTGCCTGCAGAGTTCACTGAGTTACAGAGCCCAATTCACTACTTCAGGAGATTGTACCACACCCAACTCATGTCACAGAGGGATCAGTGGAAAGCCAAGAGCAATACTATTTAATACTGGGCCAGAGGCACTGCCAGGGGAAGGCAGAGAGGCTGCAGACATAACCCCTTTGCAGGGAGAGGACAGGCCTGCAGGGGGCGCTCAGGTCCCATCAGTTAAAGGGACCAGCCCCAGATCATGGGCAGAGGAGGAGTGAGGAGGGGCTTCCTCTAAGCATCTGCATCTCCCTTTTTAAAAAAATCTAAAATAGTACGTGAAGACGACTGCTGATACGTTTATAAATATTCTATTCCATCGAGGGTGTTTACCTAGCACAGGAATTTAATGTCCTTTTCTAGGCCTTAGAGATATCTGAAGGAGCCCTGGTGACACAGTAGGTAAGTGCTCCCTGCTCCCTGAAAGATCCACAGTTCCACCCACCAGCTGCTCCTTGGGAGAAAGGTGTGAAGGTTTCTGTCCACACAACAGAAACCCTATAGGGCAGTGCTACTCGGGTAACTCTGAGTGAATATTGACCTGACAGAAATGGGTTATAGATGGCATAATAGTAAGGAGCAGAAAACGAGATGGTGTCATAAATTAAGTGGATCCAAAATTGTGGAAGTCACGGTGATCCCAGGAATAAGACATTCAGGTGTCAGGCCTAGGTGATGTTGCCAGGCTGGGTGTGTGTGAGGAAGGAGGTGGGGCTGAGTTGGTGGCAGGTGCACGGATCCAAGCAGATCATAAATCAATTAGTAAAGATGGGGAGCAATGGGTCTGAACAACAACAACAACTAAAAAAAAAAAAACATTGATATTGTGCAAAACTCTGTTATGTGGTGTCTGGGAATGAGACAGAAAGCTACTGAAAACACAGATTCCCGGGAAACATTTTGAAAAATGTGAGTTCAATAAGACCCCATACAATTCCTGTCATCAGTGCAATCAGAAACAGCCCTCAATCACTCATCAGAGGGCTGGCCTGAGGACCAAGTCTCTTTTTACTGAACATCCCAGGAGCTCAGGACTTGTAGAATTGTCTCAGGGTGATGATGAGATTTCATAGGAGCCCATGGATCCTGCAGGACACCCCTGTGCAGCGACAGCAGTCCTCTTCTCAGAGTCATTCAGGGGCTATGCCTGAGGGGATAATGATGAAGTGACAGTCAGCATGAGCATGTGCCAGGGTGTAACTCTGTGTTACTGTGTGTGTGAATGTGTGTGTCTGAAAGTGAGTGTGGGTGTGATTGTGAGTGTGTGTGATTGTGTGTGTGACACATCTCCTTCAGCCATTTCCATTTTGTCTGCAAACATTCGCTGTGACGTTCAGGTGAGCTTAGAAATAAATGAACTAGATCCACCTGCTTCAGAAAATGGATTGAGGGTCAGAGTCATTTAAAATGGAAGGGAGACGCATTTTGCAGACTCTGTGAAATTTCCACCACCATCTGCAGACACAAGAGCAACACACTCTGCAGCAGCACATGAACAGCCCAAGAGACAAAAATATGCTCTCTGGGAGACGTGGGAGTGTGTGGGATCCCAGACACAGACCTCACTCTGGGAGAACAGAGGGCTTTGCTTACAGGGGTGCACATGACCATTGTGCACATGGGAACAACTGTTTCCTAAACATCATGAGAAACGACCTCCTTTGATTTTCACTCTTTTTTTCTAACAAGTGTCCTCATGACAGTGTTTTTGATGTTGTTTTACTATTCCCATCTCTATGCCCATGACCAGCCATTGGCCTCCATATTTCCCTCCATGCCACTCCACAGAAGGAAGATTGGGCAATCTATTTGGGAATCTACTTCTGTAGAGATACCTCCTCAGAAACCCAAGGAAGGGTCGCTATGAGTCTGAAATGACTCCACGGCAGTGAGTATCGTGATCCTAGTGCTCAGAATGTAGGGGAAGTGCATACACTTCATGACGCCAAGGACAGCAGTCATCTTGTCTACCTTCCTCCACTTACAATGCGATCCACATCCATCTCCTTGCCCTCATGAGACATTCGGAGGTTCATATTCGAACACTCTTGTTTAATGCTCTGTACTTAACTCATTGCTGTAAATACATGCCTCTCTCTCTCTCTCTTGCTCTCTCTCCCTCTCTTTTTAATTAGGCATTTTTTCCTTCAAATATATTTTGAGAAATTCAAATTTCTGTGATGGAGAATGTTGGGGAAATAATTAAGAGAGAGAGAGAGAGAGAGAGAGAGAGAAGGCTGTTCAGATACTATCTTCTCTTCGTCCCCAGCATCAGTTCAGTGAATCTGAGACCCAGAAGCTGAGCAATTGTCCAAAGCCGAATGGCAGCTCTCTTTGCATCAGGAGCAGAGAACACAGTGTGCTGGTCTGGTTCGTGCTCACGGACAAATGTGAGTATGGTGGATATTAGCTCATTGTGGCCCTTCCTGGGGTCCAAGTTTAGAGTTGAAAGTGTGCCTCCAAAATATTCAAGGTTATCTACCAGGTCTTCCAATAGTGGCTGACCTTCTCCCAATACAATTTTCAGGTCTAGGCTTCCTGTCTGTCCTGGTGGGATCTCTATCTCAAAAGAAGGGAAGCAGGGCACTAGCACAAAGCTGATTTCTCAGTCACTGTAGGAACATCCACATGACCTCACCATTCCAGAGCATTTCGTACAATTGTTTAGGAGCAATCATATTCTGGCAGGTACAAAAATAAACAAATAAAACACCATGACTTAGTGAATAAACAAATCCCAGGTGAGTACAGCTGAATAGTGACCGTGACAGAGGTGGGGAGGGAGCTGAGGAACCTCAAGAACTCCCCTCAAGGCCAACACCCACAGCAGCTAGGCAGGGTGCGGAAGCTCCTCAGATCGGCACTGTGAGTAGGAATCAGATCTTAAAATCAGGTTTTATATGAATTTTGTTACGAATTTAATTCTGTCTTCCCAGATGATATGCTGCAGGACCTGTCTCCTGGTTATTGTGACCTCAGAAGGATATAGGGTCCATCTTTGAAGATGTTATCAGTTAGGTAACTGGGGCATAATTGTGTAGGGTGGATCCTGATCATTTCTGAGTGATGCCATATACAAGTAGAAAACTGACACAGAGAAAAAGGCACTCAGGTTTAGAGCATATGAAGCTGCATCTAAAAGCCTAGGATAAGCAAGAAATAGCTGAAGAATTCAGAGACAGGAGAAGACCAGGAAAGGTTGTTGTTGTTGTTATGTGCTGTCGAGTTGGACCCGACCCATAGAGACCCCTCCTTGGAATTCCGAGGCAGTATCACTACGGAAGTAGATGGCTCCATTTTCTTCCAAGGAGTGGCTGATGAGTTTGAACCGTCAGCCTTCTGGTTAGCAGTCAAGTGCCTTAGGCACTATGCTACCAGAGTTCCCACTGTGAGTACTAATCAGATCTTAAAATCAGGTTTTACACGGATATTGTTATGAATTTAATCCCGTCCTCCCAAAGGATATGCTGAAGAACTTCTGTTCTGTTGATTGTGAACTCAGTAGCATGTCAGGTCCATCCCTGAAGATGTTATAAATTAGGTAACTGGGGCATAATTGTGTAGGATGGCTCCTAATCATTTATAAGTGATGTCATATACAAGTAGAAAACTGACACAGAAAAAGGCACCCAGGTTTAGACCATAGGAAGGTGCATCTAAAAGCCAAGGATATGTAAGAAATGTCTGGGGCAACCAGAGACTGTAGAGGACCACGAAAGGTCCTCTCAAAGAGAAGACAGGGCAGCAAGGGTCCCTTGAAGCACTGGTGTGGACTTCCAGCCTTCAGAACTGTGAGGAAATCCATTTCTGTTTTGAAAGCCAGCCACACTTTTTTGGTATTTTGTAACAGTGCTCACAGGAATCTAAGACCATCGTCAATAATTACGGGCACACCAAACAGTCTGCATATAAACAGTCTGCATCTGGGAGGGTGATCGCTCACTTGACTCCCCCATCGTCCAGTGTGCTGCATGCTATCAGGACCATTCTGTAGGGGGAGGAGCACCTGGGAGGGTGACAGTCCTGCCCACAGTTATGTCATCTCCCATGCTGAGCTTCGATGGGACCCCAGACCACTGTGCCACAGGTGCTGTTCCAACAATGTCCTCCAGATGGTGCTGAGTGAGAAGTGAGGCTACAGAATGAGGGTGAGCCCTTCAGAGGATGTACTGAGGGATGAGAGAAGGATCAAACATTTCTCTATCCCCCAGGGTGTCCCGTGGAATGAGAATTTATGCCACATCTTTGGATCTCTCTGCTCTATGGCCAGCAGTTTCTATGATCTTTAGCAGAGGGTCCTTGCATACCCCATCCCTGGGGAGTGGGTCAGGCTTTCTCCTCTACTGTATGAGACGAGACTAGACAGTGTTCTGACACTGCCCTGTTTTATACCTGGGATTTCTAAGATGGGGAATCACCTCTTCACCTTCAAAGGTTAATTTCAAAACCCGGGGAAAAACCCCAGGAGCCCATTCCATTGTCTAGAACCCAAAATTCTCCTGTGTATGTTCTTCTCCGTGGTAGTTTGTCCTCCGTGTGTGGGTCCGGACATTCTCCAGATGGATTGACTCGGCTGAGATGTGTGCTGTTTGTCACCATGGGTGCTTTTCCCTGTCCTTAGTTGTACTGACCCAGGTGCAACTGCAAGAGTCATGTTCAGGAGTGGTGATTCCTGCACAGACCTCACCCCTCAACATGAGCTATCTCTGTAATCTATAATCACACTTAATTTTGAGATTGGATCAACCAGCAGCCAAGGACTGACACAGTGGCTACAAGATGGGCTCAGTTATATCTCAGATCATGGAGCTGGGCCAGGACCAGGCAGTGTGACGTTCTGCTGTACATGGTCAGAGACAACTCGACAGCACCTAACAACAGCAACAGCAACAAGCAGCCAAGGAAGGGACTGTCTGCAGTGTGCTGTGAGAGCAGACAGACTATGCCCCATGTCTGAGGAGTCGACTCTTTAGCTCCAGACACTGGTCCACAAACCAGTTCTCCCTGCCAATGAGCTCTGCCACCACAGAGGACAGAGCCATGTATTACTGTGCAACAGACAGTAAAGGGAAGTCAGTGAGGCCCAGACACACACCTCCCTGCAGCAATGGGACTGGTCTACAAGGGGGTGGGCAGGATGCACAGAGCACAAGGCCCCAGTCTCCGGAAAAAGTAGGGGAGGCTGTGGAACAAGGGACTTTCTTTCCCTCCAAATTATAACATTTCCTCCAAGCACCCATCCATGGTTACTATCAAAAAATACCATAGATATTGAAATTGTCATTTATTTATGCATTGCAGTCAGACATAAATTTGTATGTGCACATTCATATATTGACATGCACATATTATATTTGTATCCTACATGGTTATCACATATATTGTACAATTTGTATTGGACTGAATGGAAAATGAAGCAGAATGTTCCAAAATACATGGGATTCAACTAAAGCAGTACATAGTGGAGGATTCATAGCCTCATACCCCTTTATTATATAGAAAGAATGGCCTCATATCAATTACCTGAGCTCCCCACTAATGAAAATAGAAAAGATGAGCATGTTACATCAAAGCTTAACATAGAAATAATAATAATAACAATAAAAACAATATAACAACTGGCATGAATGAAATAGAAACAATAAATAAAATAAATTTTAAAAAACTATTTCTTTGAAAAAAAAAAGGAAGTAAAAAAGATGAACTCACTGCCCTTGAGTAGATTCTGACTCATAGCGACCTTGTTTGGGTTTCTGAGGAAGTAAATGTGGAAGTAGATGTCCAGGCTTCCTTTCACAGAGTTGCTGTTGGGTTTGAACCACCAACCTTCTGGTTAGCAGTCAAATGCCTTAGGCACTATACCCCCTGAGTTCCTTGATTCTTTGAGAAAACCAAATAAATGTGCCTGATGAGGATATAAAGAGAGATGACACAAACGATCAAAAGCAGAAGCCAGAGTGGAGACAGCACTTTACGGTGATTGGACTTATGCCCTGTTCTCTTTACAGATAGAGGGCTCTGCAAACCTCATAAGAAATGGCCAGCTCGGCCATGGAGCTGGTCCAGGAACATGGTTGGGTCCATTTGTGAGGGGTATAGGTCCACATACTGGGATAACTCCTACCAGGTACGTGTTCAGGTGCACTTGACACTATCCCTCTCTGTTCTATTTGTTGTTTTACATCAGAAAACTATGGTTAATAATAGGTGAAAAGGAAGTCACCTTATGGGTATTAAGAGTTAGCACAGCATAATCCATAACATGAAATCATAATTTCTCCAAACACTATCTTTGTCACCAAACATCACCACGGCATTCCTGTCTGCTCTGGGGTATGGCCCTCTCAGGAGTCTTGCAACTCCACCTCTGGTTATATAGGAGGAGAAAATGCAAATAGGGCCCCTCCCTCAGCTGATGAAAGCAGGTCCATCCCCAACCCTGCAGCTCTGGGAGAGGAGCTCCAACCCCAGGATCCCAGGTGTCCCCATTCAGTGATCTGCACTGAACACAGACGAGTCCCTTGGAGTCTGCGCTGGGATGGGTTTTCCTTGTTGCTGTTTTCAAAGGTCATTTTCTGGAGAGCAAGTGCATGTGAATGGGCATGAGTGAGAGAAACAGTGGACATGTGTGACGGCTTCCTGACCGGGATGTCTCTGTGTTTGCAGGTGTCCAGTGTGAGGTGCAGCTGGTGGTGTCCGGGGGAGGCCTGAGTCAGCCTGGGGGGTCCCTGAGACTCTCCTGTGCAGCCTCTGGATTCACCTTCAGCAGTTATGCCATGATCTGGGTCCGCCAGGCTCCAGGGAAGGGCCTGCAGTGGGTCGCAGTTATCAGTAGTGACGGTAGTTACATATACTACGCAGACTCCGTGAAGGGCCACTTCACCATCTCCAGAGACAACGCCAAGAACACGCTGGATCTGCAAATGAACAGTCTGAAAGTCGAGGACGCGGCCCTGTATTACTGTGTGAGAGGCACAGTGAGGGGAAGTCAGTGTGAGCCTAGACAAAAACCTCCCCTGCAGGGATAAGGCCACACAGCAGGGGGCGCTCCACACTCACCAAGCTCAGGATTCAGACCCAGGAGCAGCTGCAGGGATGTGTTAAACGTTGGTTTCCTGCTGTGTCTGGGGAGTCTTCTCCACCCGCAGTTTCCCCAGGGAATCTATTTTTATGATTCTGGGATCTCCCCTGATAGCTGTGAATTAAAAAAAAAAAAAAAAAAAAAAAAAAAAAAAAAAAAAACTTGTATTGTAACAGGGACACCCATTCTCACATGGGAAAAGCATTCTGTCCCTTGTGGAGGGAAAAGAGTGTGACAGGATCCCCCGCGGTTCTGGGGAAGCTCAGGTGAATGTGGAGATTCTTTTCCAATCAGACTCCGGACAGGGAGAATCCTTGGGCAGCTCTAGCACTTGAGCACTTGGTCACTACTTGAAAGGCTGGGGTTTGAACCTGCCCAGGGATGGCTTGAGAGGCAGGCCAAGGAATTTGCCTTTGAAAGGTCAGACTTAGGGATGAGCTCTCAGTGCTGTTCCAGAATTAGGACACTCTCTGGGATTCAGGTCAGAGCGTGAGAGTGGCTGGGTCAGGGTCAGTGCATGTAACAGCTAACAGTTGAATGAAGTCACATCTGGATGTCACTCACTGGAATCCCTCCTCACAAGAGTATGTATGCCTGTCAGAATCAGGACCGACCTGGTGTCTAGTTTCCTCCAAGTCTGTTTTCATTGTCTCTAGTTCAGCAGGGTCACCTAATCCATGGCTGTTATGTAGTTTATACTCTACACCATACTTATTCAATCTGCAGGCTGAGCCAACACTCCAAGAAGCTGGACGATGGCTTCAGCTGACTCCATCCCCATGTGCTCAGCAACTCTCAGTCTCAGCATTCACGTTCTTCTGCTGAAACCTGAGGAAGCAGAGGCTCTGACTGTGCATGGAAAGTAGACTTTCAAATGGTGGTGGGTTTCTCAGAACATCGGGAGCACTGGGGGCTTCTATAAGCATGTGTGGAGGAAAGGGCATGGTTGCTCTGAGAAACTGTGGCTTCCACTTGAGCTCATGGATGAATTTTCCCAGTGACCTCTCTGTTTCCTTTTGACATCTGTGTTGCCCTCATTGTTCCTCGATCATCTGGGCCCTGCACTTCTCTGCACCTGTAGGCATTTCATGGCAGGAGTCTTCCAAAAGGTGAAGAGACAGCAGATGTGCTCTGGGGTCTGGAGGAGAAGTTAGGGCAGCAGACAGAATCCAAAGGGCACAAAGAAGTGCACAGAATTAGCCGAGCGGGTGGTCATGGACAGTATAATTGTCGTGGGAAGGATAAGGGGAGCCCAGAGGGGAGGTCCGCAGACTCCTGTAGGTGGAAGCAATGGAGCAGGAAGGAATTGGGGACAGACAGTTCTAGGAAACAAAGTAGCATTTTATGAAGTTAAAATGAAGGATTTTATGAATGAGCAAATGGAGGCAAATGGGTAGGGGTTAAAGAACGTGTGAATCTTGGGACAAGGGTTGGAAGAGACATGACCCTTTTCTTCTGAGTGTCCAAGTGGATCCA